TGTCAGCAATCAGTGCATACGTGATGCTATTTTTCCTGCTAGAAACTGAATGCTTGGTTTCTGGGTTTTGTAAGCTGACCTCTCATACTTACTGCAAAAAAAAAATCCTCACATCTTTCCACATTAAACAGAGCAAAATTTTTTCTTTATAAAAGTATGAAGTGATGGTTACGATACTACAGAAAGATGTGCTCACTAGCCCAGAAGCTAAATGCCAAACTCAAAGGTATTTCGCGGACCGCATCTAGGCAGTGCTGTCCTATGCGCCAGTAACCCAAGAGGATTACTCACTGGTAGACGAACCGAGATAGCGCACGGTGGAAGCATGACCAACGTGAGAAGCCTGGTTCCCCTCTGTCCAGACCGCCCTACTCTGTAAGCAAGCACCTCGCTTATTTCTCCAGATGCTGCTTTCGCAGAACCCACTACGCCAATCTAGATAATGACTTGGATACGCTTACTGCGGTTGACGATGCAGAAGCTTTTGTATGTTCACAAACACTCGCTGTGAGTGAACAGTAGTTTACCGTACACCCACAGCCGTGCCAGCATCTCCTTTCCTCTTTTTCCCCGCCCCGTCCCCCATTCCACCACTTGCACCCCTCCCTCAAAGCACCAACTCCCTGGGCATTACTACCGTAGTAATCGGGCAGGCTGGCGTTCCCGCCTTAAGGGCAACTGCTAAAACTCGGCTCGGCTTAGCGGAGTTGGTAGGAGGAGAGTTGCAAAGACTGAGCGGGTGGGGGTGCGGGGTGGGGGGGACAGAGGGTGGAGACGAGGGGAGAGGGGTGGGGACCGGGGGTGGTGGTTTAGGTATCGGGGTTGGGGCGGGATGAAGGAGGTGGGTTTATTGACCGGAAAGGAGCTGAGGCCTCGGCTGAAGCGAAGTGTTGGGAACAGGGGCAGGATTTATGGGAAAATGGGCCCATGCAGGCTCCACATGCTCAGCACAAAAATTGATGCTGAGGGGAAGTCAGGAATCTTGAACGCAACGTCTGGGAGCTCACCTGAACAAAAAACCCCGACGGCTTTCGCAGCTCGAACACGAACCCAGAGGGTCGCGAAAACAAGTGCTGTATATTGCGTGGTGGGGTCGAGTTTTAGTAGCTGCCACCATGGGGTTGGGAGGGGGCTGGGAGCTTGGTTGGGGGGAGGGGTTGAAGCACAAAGGCGGAGTCCCCTCATGGATTTTTTGTGTTCAGCGTGGAACTTGATGTTGAAGGAAAGTTGGAAATTTTTGGATTCGGCAACCAGAACTTTATTGAGGTAAACCCGGCACCACGAGCTCCGTAACTCGAACCCAAAAATAAGCGCATGTTGAGTGGTCGGGCCAAGCCGAATCCCTTGTAGCTGCCGTAGTTCAGCGCTTTCAGGCAAGTTCCTCGACAAGTTGGGCAGCCTTTCACCAATTTGGAAAGGTGCCCAGTGCGTGTTGGATCAGGTTCTGGGGTGTTTTGCTGCTATTGCTACTTGCTGGAACTGATTTGGAGGAGTAGAGATGGGTGGGAGGAAGGTGGCGGTGTTCTTGGACGCTGTGTGCGGCGTAGAAGTTTATCTGAGGTAGCGACGGGACGAAAAAAAATTTGGCCATCAGGATTATTTGTTCAGTATGCACTTTCAGCGCCATCGGTCAGCGAAATGGCCCTGCTGGATCTGGACAACGTTGCGCCGCACCTCGAACGAAACTCGATTCTCTCGATACCAGAGTACAGGATAAAAGATGGCCGCTATGCGGTAAGCCCATTTTCGCTGTTGCCAATTTGTCTGGACGGGTCGAGGCTTATCACCGTCACATGTCAAAAGCTGACTTTATCTCAGGGACCCCGGGTGGATAAGATAATTCTTATGTAGCACAGGGGGCTTGCCACCGCCGCTGCTGCATTCATCGACTGGAAGGGACGGAGTTTGCTGGAAACGTTGAAGCTGATGTGTTGCAGGTGTACATCATACGAGTG